GTCGGATTTTTTGATTTTTAAATTTACCTTTTATTTCCTACAATAATTTACAATGGTAGTTTATTGTGGTTGAATTGTGTTTCATAAAGTTATTTTTTTATTACAGTATTTTGGATGGGTGACCAAAAACTTGTTGTCTCGAGCTCCTCCGTGCTTCAGAAGGCACGTTGCTCCCGGCAACATCTGAAGTTAACACCCACCCAACACGCACGAGGCCCGCGTGGTGGGTGACGGACCGAATCTCCCTATTCCATCCAGAGGAATTCATGTCTGTGCCCCAGCAGTGGGACATTAATAGGTTGGTGATGATGATGATGTGATGATGTAATAATCATTATTATTACTCGTGTTCTATGACTCATGCGATACTTTACCTTAAGAGTTGACGAGAGCTGTAAGACATTTTAGAAATAGGTATTTGAAAAAACTATTGCCGTCACGTATTGGCAAATACCGTGCGATAGGGACAACAGTAGTTAGCGCTGAAAATTGCGTATAAAAATTGCAAAATTCGAGGTTTGGCTCTCGATGATTTCCTCCTTGAAAATTAAACATATGTAAAAGAAATGTACTCATAGAATAACTATGCTTCTATGTTTTGCTATTTTGTAAATGCTTATTAAATCCCCACATTAGACGTCTTTAGTGGTGATAAAAAAATAAGTGTGTGTCAGCTCCGACGCACGACTGGAGTTTACTCCTTAAGTTCGATAGTCTAACCAGACGCAAAGAGTTTATTTAACTTAAAAAAGATTGATACTGTATGAAAGGAAAATTAACAAATTAATGAAAATAATATACACATATAAATATATATTTATTAATTTCATATACATTTATTATAACTAATCGACGAAATATTTTACATTAATTATGTATATATAGGGCGATTATGTGTACGCCATTTGTGCATTTAAAATTTTAGTTCATATGTATCAAAATAGATGGCGCTGTAGTTCGTTGCATCACGCTTGTAAATATGTTTGGAGCTACATATAGGCAAAACGTCACCTAACTAATAAAGAAATCTGTGGTCTAACAAAATACACTGTAGTTTCAATTTAATTCTTTTGCACCTAAGCTCTCGGATTTAAGAGTCATTTTGGCTCGAACAGGATGCACACCAAAACCGTAACGAGGTCATTCATCGATAGATTTTACTCCTCACATTTTTTCTCATACCGGGCCCCTTATATATGCAAATCGATTCTTAAGTAGTAAACTCCAAAAAACAATTTTGGAATTTTTCAGGACTTCTAGTTTCTTTGAAACGGAAGTTATCAAGGAGGAATCAGTCGAGAACTTTTGTATGGAAAAAGCATTGCCCGCCTCCCCTCTAAACTATCCGTTGTTATATACATTTACACACACGCTTACACTCATATACAAACAGACACATCCACACAGGCATAAGAATTCTAATTTACTTACTAGTCTTGTACGTGTCCATTGAAATTAATTGTTTTATTTCGAGGTGTTTTTATTAACTGCGACAAAACCTCTTACACACATTTGGTTACATTATTTTTTTTTGTGGAAAATAGGCAATGCGTTTGACCACAATCTCACCTGATTTAAAGCGATGATGAGGCCTAGGATGGTACACGCCTGCCTAGAAGATGCCTGTTCACTCTGGCCTTGAAGATGTCCAGATTATATTGGTCCGGGAAATCAGACCTCGGCAAGGAGTTGAAGTATCATTGTAGCATTGTTAAATATTATTCTAGAAGCTATGGAAACGCAAATTAATAAATCATCATATCGCTATAAACATAATGATGTAGGAATTCGGTAGTCTGCGTGTGTGGAAATACTTGAATTCGCAATATTGCCGAAATTTAATTAGCCCTAATCGGAATATTGTTGCAAATTAATGAAATACTAGATCAGCGAATTAGAACGCGATTCAATAGCTTAATGTATCTAAATGAAACGTTCAAATGTTAATCAATGCCTGGCTACATTTTGTGTAAGATCTCAATATAAATAAAGTTATCGCGTCAACTTTAGCTGTAATACAATTATCATATTAAATCCAAACATGGATTTGTACTTTAGTTTTGTCTGGAAAGTTTGTGCAAATGGCATCTATAAATATAATATATAAATGGTAGGAAAGTCAAAACTGTACATTGTTTTTTTTTAAAGAATACTTGAGGTGTGATCTGCATTCGATACCGAAGCCAAAAATATACTTTTTCGATTTTTTTTTAATACTACCATTATTGAAAAATTTTATCCATTCTTGAATATCTAATGAGTCCCGACTGTTAAAGTAGCTTTAGCGTTCCTTACTTAACAGAATTATAGACTACTGGACTTGTTATTTTTTATTTTCAGATTTTATAAATGTATAATATTTTAGCAATCGGGTTTTTTGATTTTTAAATTTATCATTTTTATTTCACACTTTTTAGTATTATAAGATGGCATATACCGTAGTCTTGTCACTTAAGTAAGGGAATTAATATCGCGGGAATTATTATGTGCCTTGCAGTGGTTTTAGATCGATTGATTTATTATGACATAGAGGCCTTACCAGCAGGTTCAGGGCCTCAATTATCACAAAAATGTATGAAGTTACTCGTAAATCAAGTCGTTACTTATATATCTGCCTGAAAATTTTATAATTAAGTAGTTTATAAGTATTTATAAGTAGTTTAGAAGTAAATATAAAATTCATTTACTTTTATTCGTCGACTATCTAAAATTGGCAGTGGCTGCATTGTCATATCATCGTCCGGCTCTAAGATTATGATATACAAAAACACAGTGTCATATCCTAGTCTCATAATATAGTATACCTACATAATTCACAGAAACCGAATATGTAGACGCCAGAGGTTAACTTCAAATGTTGTTAATCACCCTTAAAACAATACCAATCAATAACGTTAATGTCGGAGGCTGACGAAAGGAATAATTCCCATCTGTTGTGTTGGACACTGGTGGCAACTGCCTTAGATCGCTAAATTAAATAATTATGCAATCACCAAAGCAAAGTTTATAATATTTGATTGTGCAGTCACGGTAATATTATCTATACAGTATTGTGACTCCGCCCTGTCCTTGAAAATAAATGCCTACACCGAGCGCTGCGTTAGCACGCGGTAGGGCCGCCCGCCTACAGTATTTTATGTAGTTTTGTTTTTAACGCGAGTGTAGGTAGATTACTCGTTTTTCTCTTTATTCATCCTAACCACTTATTTATATATTATTCCAGATATTTTGCCCGATAGAAAAACCGAAATACCTAAATATTAGAAACAAATAACGTACTAGTAGATAGGTATATAAAAAATATTCTATAAAGGTAAGACACCTTTACAATATTTCAGGTAATTTAAAAAATGATATCTCTGGGTGTGTTATTGAAGAGTTCAAGCAACCAAAAACAGCAATTGTGCTGTTGTACGATATTGATCGTCGTTTGTTCTTTTCCATACTAAATGATGTAGGTATCTACTTAATTAAATCAAATATTTACAATACAAAACGCACGTTTAAGCACGGCTAACTGCATAAAAAAAAAATTCAGACCGTTCGGTCGTCGTTGCGGCGCGGCGGCGCATTCGCGACTGGGTGCACGCCGAGAGCACATCGAACTCGAGTGGCGTAGGTATGACTCGCTTTCCGACCGTTTGTATGAAGATAGAATACTGTATGATATTATTACCGTGGTGCAGTATAAAATTTTCATAGCGTTAGGAACAGCACCATAGCAATCCCATTTATTATCAATTTATCACCTCATGTATAGATTTACATCTATGTCGTTCTTTCTTAAAGCGTTCACCAGTTACAGGTAGCAGACTTTCTGGTCTACCCTTTTTATTGGTAGTGTAAAGCTTGAATGAAGAGTACTTCCACCCATCAATCGGCCTGCTACCAGTTTAGTAGGTATTACAAATGGTGCAAACATAAAAATCTATACGCAAAATAAGATGTATAAATTACCGAATAAAGAATCACTGTTTACCAAAAATGCTCAGTAACTTTTACCAATATAATCAAATAAAACTACTACTTACTTTATTTTTAAATCTTTTGCATCATTTACATATTATTATCCTAACTATCTATACTAATATTATAAGGAGGCGAGAGTTGTATGTTTGTAACAAATAATCTGTCAAACTACTGAACCAATTTCCAAAATTTATTCATCATAAGGTAGCTACATTATTTATTATTAAATTTTCAAGCATTAATCTCAATATCGTTGATAAATCTGCTCGATTTATAAATCTAAAGAGAATTTTTAGTTGAAAAAATTCACTCTGACAACTTCTTCGTCAGGAATTTTTTCTAGTAATTTTTTATGACTACATTTTATCCAAGTGACATAGGCTATATTTTATCCCGTTAAAATAAATTTCGCCCGAGCAATGCCGGGGTGGATCACTAGTAAGTATAATATAATATTATAGATGCGAAACCGAGTTTGTTTTTTACACTTCCGCGCCCTAATATCTAAATCGATTATGACGAATTTCCCTATAGAATTGGATGGGCCTTGGTTCTAAGCTACAATATCGCAATACTTACAGGCATAGGGTGATAGCATGGGTGATTAAGTTATAAAACTTTATAATATTAACTTAGAATTTTGCAGAATTATCTATCGTTTATAATTAAAAAACTAACATTACCGCGAAAATTAATAAATACAGGGAGCCATTAAATATGTACCTACTAGCGAAAAATAGGTTATTTCTCATTATGTTAAGTAACCCTTTTTTGAGACTTGATGTAATATCGTTAAAATTAACTTTAAAAACTGTATAATTCTATTCTAAAATATTTTCATTTAATTACAATAATCATAAATACCTATTATGATAATTTAGTTTTCATCATTTAATAAGAAGGAACTGTATCAGAGTTTTATTATAAGTACTTCGTATAGGATTAGATACTGTAAGTAGACCATTTTTTTCATTTTCGTCTAGGTTTTATCTACGTTTATAAACATGCCCCCTTCCTTCCGGATCGCGAGAGCGTTTGGACGTGTGAACCTATTCATAATTTATTTGAATTTTATTTAAAAATACGAAAATATAATCATTAAATATCAACCAGTACCAGGAGACCATAATTGATCGTGAGTTCTTATTCCACTGTGCACAGAATAGTTATAAAAATAAATCGTGTGAAGGCCCCAAGCTACCAGGCGACCATAGCGCACGGGAATTACTCGAGCGCCGGAGAGAGACCGACCGTGAGTACGATATATTTCGACAAGCTACAATGCGAACGAACATTGTGCGTACACACACACACGTCTCCTCCTCTACGTTTCTGCGTTCATCGTTGGGTACCCGCTCGCGCTCGTCACCCGCCGCCCGGCGTCGTCGCGTGCGCTGCTACGTCACACACAAGTACTGGCTCTGTTTGATTGCAGTTCATAAGAGGAAGCGGTGGCGTTTTAAATACAAAGTGATCCAACTATATTTTTATAACACAATGCCAAACTTAACGCGGTCTCCATTAAACAAATCCTACAGCATGTCTGATTCAGATGTTGATAAGCTGGCTAAAAAGGATACTGAGATTACACATGTACCTAAACGAGAAAGTAAACGTCGGCGAATGGAACACGAAACAGAAGCGGACCCACTTGACATCCGTAAAATTATACGAGAGGAACTTTGTGGAGTGTTGTCCGCCCTGCAGCAACAGAATTCACGAATGGATGTTATGGAGCAGCACATTTCCGTCATAAAATTGCAAAACGACACTACAATTGAGAAAAATCTCGACATTGAAAAATCTATACAATTTATCCACGATAAAGTTGACGATCTGCATGTCGCGATTAACGGTCTGGAAAAAAACCGAAAAGAAGTAGCCGCCCAAATTTCCAAGATCGAGGATAAGTGTGACGCTCTTGAAAGATTCACAAGAAAAACTAGTGTTCAAATAAGAAACGTCCCTAAGCAAAAAGATGAAACAAAGGAAAGCCTTTCCTTGATAATAACTAAGTTGGCTGCATCTCTCTCTGTCAACCTTCAGGCTGCTGAGCTGCGGGATGTTTATCGTATGCCATCAAAACCTGACTTATCTTACTCCACTGTTATAGTGGAATTCTCCACCACCATACTAAAAAACAAATTTCTCGCTGCAACGAAAACTTATAATGCTTCCGCCAGAAAATTGAAAACTGAACAACTAAATTCAACTCACTTTGGTTTGACTGGACCTCAAAGTAAAATTTATGTTTCGGAACATCTAACTGCCCAATCATCACGTCGTTATTTCCTTGCTCGTGAGTTCTGCCAGACTATGGAGTATGACTTCTGCTGGACAGCCAATGGACTTATTTACTTAAGGAAGAAACAGGGTGAGCCACATATACTCGTCAGAACAGAAGCTCAACTTCAATCACTTAAAAAAATATGACTGTTTGAGTTCGTGATTTATTGTATTTATGTCAGTAAAAATACATTAACCATTTTTAAATTTAAGATAGTCAAAAATGCATGTCAAATTATTTTTCATTCAAGTTTATTGTGCTAGTTCACACTCACAGTAATCACTATTATAAACTTAAGTTTCAAATTACATATTTTTACATCATGTATCCAAACAAACGACACAAACAATGAACAGCAACTCACTCTTACTCGTAAACATTATAAATTAAGGGAAAAGATTGTGCAGATGTACCATTTTCGCTTTTTATTTATTAACATTAAACATATAATTGCTATGGAATATCTGTGCCGCTCAAAGTTTCATCTTACTATGAAATTTGTTAATTATGGGTAATGCTGCCGAGGATTTTGTATTGGAATTGGATAGATTGGGTGTTGCTGCATCCTTTCACTGTGATACTGAGACTTGCAACAAGCTTGTGCGGAATTCCCCATTATCATTAAACATTGCAACGCAAAATATACGTAGTATTAACAGGAACTTAGATGGTTTTGTTGCCCAAATCTCTAGATTTAAATTTGATATTGACGTGTTGATATTAACTGAGTGTTGGCTTAGTCGAGATAAGTCTATTCCTATGCTAAATAACGATTACACACACTTCTACTCCAGAAATTGTTACAATCAGAATGACGGTATTGTTATTTATGTGAAAAAGCATATTAGATGCTCAGTTGTGGAACCAAATATGCCAGGAGCTAATTTTCTTCTCCTGAAAATTGATCCAGATATTTTTATCTTAGGTACATACAGGTCCCCTTCAATAGTATCCACCGAGTCATTTCTAAACTCAATTGAAAAAATTACTCGTCCCTTAAATTCTGTTGGTAATTTGATTCTGAGCTCGGTATCTTACCTGCTCACCTATTCCCCACAAGACTTAACAACTGTCTGGATCATGTCATGTTAAAATCAGCCCTACATGCTTCTGCAGTTGTTGTTGATGCTACGGTCACGGACCATAGTCTTGTTTTATTAAGTCTTAGTATTAAGGGTTCCAAGTCTAATGTTAATCATTTTAAGTCAACTAAAACTGATTTTAATTCCTGTGTTGAATATATTAAAAATATAGACTTTTCATTTGTTTACACAAATTTGGATGCCAATGCCGCAGCTAAAAGCTAATTGTAAAGGTGCTTTCTACTGCTATCGAACTTTATTCCAAAAATAATATTGTCCCGTGTAGAAAGAGAATTCTGAAACCCTGGCTAACACCGGTATTGCCTCGTTGCATACGACACAGGGATAGATTACATTATAAATTTAAAATGAATCCAGAAAATTGCATTCATGAGATTTCTTATAAACGTTACCGTAATCATTGTAACTCCTTACTTAGTAAAATGAAAAACATTTATGAGAAATCGTTGCTTACTAATGCAAAATCAAATAAAGAGAAGTGGAAAGCCATAAAATCTATTATAAATCATAGTTCTGTGAAAACTTCAGCGGCACCACTTCTTAGTAAGGATAATGAAATTGACGACATTACGCAGCTTAATCATTATTTTTCAAACATAGGTAAGACCCTGGCGGATAACATAGCTAAATCAAACGACAACTTAGAACCTAAAAATCATGACACTAGGTCAAATCTCAACTCCCTTGTTTTATTGCCACCCGACGAAGCCGAGATAGAATCTCTTATAAACGGACTTAAGAATAATAGTGCTACTGGCTGGGACTCCATCCCCGTTAAATTGTTGAAACAAGCTAAACATATCTTAGTGCCACATCTGACAAAGCTAATGGAACTTTGTTTTAACCAAGGTATTTTCCCGAAGGTATTTAAAAAGTCCATCATTACCCCTGTTTACAAGGATGGAGATCGACACTGTGTTAATAACTATCGACCTATCTCCGTATTAACAGCACTATCTAAAGTGATGGAAAAGGCCCTGAATAATCGTCTCATTAACTATTTAGAACGTTACAACATATTATCGTGCAATCAATTTGGTTTCAGATCTGGCAGGAGCACTGAAGATGCAGTTAGTCATCTCGTTGACTATGTTACCTCACATTTAGATTCTAAACAAAAGTGTCTAGGTGTATTTCTTGACTTAGCCAAGGCTGTTGACACGGTGTCGATCCCCAAACTTGTGAAACAGCTATATCGTATTGGTATAAGAGATAACGCTCTAAATATTTTTTCCAATTTCCTTGAGGAGCGTACACAGCAAGTTAAAATTGGTGAGTATCTCAGTTCAGAGGTACCTGTTGTCTTTGGAGTCCCCCAAGGTAGCATTCTTGGCCCTAGTCTCTTCCTTGTATATATTAATGAGCTGTGTCAACTTTCATTAACAAACTGCAAAATTTTTTCCTATGCAGATGACACGGCATTGATATTTCACGGGGGGACTTGGGATGGGGTAAGTCATCTGGCTGAGGAGGGACTTCATAACGTTGGATCCTGGCTTAGAGCAAACTTACTAACTCTAAATATTTCTAAAAGTAAATACTTACAATTCCATATGCATAATAGTCATCCAGATAATTAAAATCTAAAATTTCACTATTGTGACCTATCGAATGGTACTGATTGCTCGTGTCTCTCACTTGAAAAATCCAATCAAATTAGGTGCCTAGGTGTGATACTTGATGAGAACATTAACTGGCAATATCATATCAATCTTATAACTACTCGTCTCAGAAAACTCATCTGGGTCTTTAAGAGATTGCGTCACGTTGCAGATTTTACTCTCTTACGGAATTTATATTTTGCTCTGGCTCGATCGATTTTTACTTACTGCATTTGTGTTTGGGGCGGAGCTTGTAAAACACTTATAATAGATCTCGAAAGAGCTCAGAGGTCTATACTGACGGTTATGACGTTTAGCCCGTTCAGATTTTCAACCAAGTTGCTGTATGAAAAGTGTGAAGTTCTTACCGTAAGACAAATATATATCCTCCAAACTCTTTTAAAACAACATCGTAATACCCCATACAATGCCAAAAAATATAGAAGTAAACGCACTATTGTCAGTGTATGTAATCTACCAAGATTTCACACAGCATTTGCTAGGCGACAGTTTGTTTATTTATCTACGTATCTTTACAATAAAATAAATAAAATAATTGATTTTTATCCATTACCTATTAAAGACGCAAAAACTAAAATAAGAAAATGGTTACTTACCCTTAACTATGATTATACCGAAACTTTGCTGTTAAACTAAGTTCCCTACTTTTTGACTTGCACGCAGATTTACTAAAACACACACATACATACACACACACACACACACACAACTAACACACTCACAAACACACACATAGACACACACACACACACACATACACACACACACACACGCATACACACACACACGCATACACATGCGCACTTATTTATTCTGATTGATTTAATTATTTCAATAATGTATGTCTTATTGTAAAACTGTTTTGTTACATAAATAGTTATGATCTATGTATTCGGAAGTGGGCACTGACCCCTGTCACACAGGTCTTTATCCTATTGTAGGGGTCAGGGACTACATTATAAACAAGTATTGTAATCAATTTATGTGACAATAAATAAATTATTATTATTATTATATTATAAGTACTTCGTATAGGATTAGATACTGTTAGTAGACCATTTTTTTCATTTTCGTCTAGGTTTTATCTACGTTTATAAACACCAAAATTCTTCTCCCACTATGCCCTCAGTCTACTACTGCATAGCACACACGCTATCACTTTTTCATCGTTGCAACTTTTTAAATATTTATCGAAATGCCATACTGTAAAAGTCAAACTTGATCGTCTTTAAATATCAAAAGCGATAAAAGTATTTATTTTGATAAAAAATAATTTGTAAATACCAAATGTGCATTTTGGAAATGGACATCAAATAAAATTCTATTTTAGATTCACTATTTTAGCGATAACGGCTTGTACATTAAAAATACATATACGGTGTGGCAGAATTTTTTAATAGATACATTTTTACTCTACATTATATTCACGTAACTTTTATTGTTTTTGCAATGCAGGCCGAAATGGCTCGTAAATGGGAGTTTTTTTCCATCTTACTTGACTCTTATTGTTATATTTTGGCCAATTCACTCAACTACAATGAGCTATATTATTGTAAAGTTTTATTAAACTCCATTCAGTATCTTTTAGGTGAAAGAGTAACAAAGATCCATACAAACGTAAGATTGAAATTAAAAGCGCAAGTGCTTAATATACAAGTTTAAATCGTTGTAGACCCTAAACAGTCATATAAAATGAAAAATAGTGTAGGGAGCCTGTACATGATTTTCCATTATCTAGACAATGATACCCCACCGACATATTTCGTCAACTTATTTTTTTCACTTCGTCACAATGTGGCGCCTAATTGTTCCTGTATTGAGATTTGATTACTATCATATCTTTAGTAAGTACTACTACCCATGATTAAGACGAATCGATTGATGTATGAATTATTAAAATCCGTCCACGCGTTTGTTCTCTAGTGTGCCACAAAGGAACAAACGGAACAAACATACATACACTATACCCTGTCTGCGCGTCGCGCTTCGCGCTCTTGCATAGGGCAGTCGGGTAAAAGGGAATTTGAATTTACGATTTTGTTGCCTTCGATAGCTTTTAGAGCAGCGCTTGTCTGTCTGTATTTCTGAAAATTTCCCCGATGTTGCGGGAATGTGATCTTGAGTTAGACCCCACTATACTTCACGTAATCTTGTGATTTTGCTGATTTTCCTTTGTGCTAGTTGAACACCTGTCGCGCGAAACTAGGTAATTTGGATCGGGGCTTTTTCGAAGTCGACCAATCGCTATGATGGCGTATAATGCGATTCTAATAAGAATAGGAAAGCCAATTACCTCCATCTGTCAAATGTCGCTTGAAATGTACGGTTTGCAAAAAAATCTCGGAACACTTTTTTAGCACTCGGCTGATTCTAGAATAGAAACCAAACATTTTTAAAGAAAATAACAAATGTTGATAATTA